GAATTAATTACTTCCCAAAACAAAACATTTTGAGTGTATAAGAGTTGTCACGTGGAGCTTTGTCCATTATTTTTTGGGCACTGTTCAATGATTTTCCTAATATATAATATAGCAACTCACCCTCCCAAATCTGTATTTTTCATATATGCATTGATGTCATTATATTTATTGTTTTTTCTTATAACGGTTATTATATTTAATTGAAACCATTTGAATTCAAAAAACTTAATTTCTTACCTTTTTTTGCAATAGATATTCCCAAAAAGGAAAACATCAGATATAGTGTAAAAAATAAAGCCTTTTCAGGCGAATTATATTCTTACTTAAGAGAATAAAGGATTTTTTATTATTAAGAAATGAAAACATTATTTATAAGTTAAATTATTTATGCAAGGTTGCAGAAGAGGTTCAAAATGAGAAAGAAAAGGTGGGGATAGCCAGCCTGAAGTGGCCCCAATCGCCCAAATGAAGCTTTTGGCGTGGAATTGTCAGGGATTGGGACCGACCCTGACATTCCAATCCGCCGCAAGCTTAGTTCGGTGCCATTCGGTTGATGTTGTCTTTTTCTCTGAAATAAAATCGAGTAAAGCTCGAGTTGCTCGTAAAATCAGAAGTTTAGGGTTTGAGTCTCAGGAGATTGTGGCCCCTGTGAACAAAGCAGGTGGTTTAGCGTTAGGGTGGTCTAGTGATGTTCAAGTTCGAGTCCTCAGTACTTCATCTTTCCATATTGCGTTGAAATTAATGAAAGAGATGTTTGCTATGTGGTGATTGCACTACAGGAAAAAGGTCTTTTAATCATGGGAAATCATGTGCTTAAAAGCATGTTTCCCGTGATTAATAATTTTAGTCACGGGAATTTTACCGTAATATAAAGCTCTGTGTCTAATTGTATACCGTGACTAGTTAGAGTACCGTGACTAGTTATTACTGTTCACGGTATAATTTCCCATGATAACTTGTACCAATCAATCACGGGAAAAACCATGCCTAATGTCAAATTTTTTAGCACATATCCAAGAAAAAATAATATTTAAAGACGGGATGTATTTCTTTTAAGATGGTATTAAAACCGTGACTAAATTATTTCCCATGACTAGATATCTATTTTTGGATGGTTCTCCTGTGATTAAATACTAATCATTGGTAATCATATTTCCCTAACTAATTACAAACTACTATCACAAATCTATAATAATAATATATTATTAACATACAATTGAAAAGACCAAATGAAATTCTAATATTATTGGCAATATAACTTGTTCCGGTATGATTACATATAGGTGAAAAGACCGAATATTCTTGTAGGATACAACTCTAACCAAACAAATACTAGTTACATATATCTAATTATTTTGGTGTCCTAGAGGACCTAGACTATCAAATCTGGAATTCTAAATCCCTCGACAATGCTGCCCCATTGTTGTTGTTACTGGTGCTGCCTCTTAAGATGAGTTTGCTGCATAGATACATAGAAGTACAAGATCGAGATGAAACTATTTTGAGATAAGCACAAATCTACCTATCAATAGCCTAAAGCAAAGGTTGAGGCATCAAATGCTAGTACCTGTAGGTAGATGCAAGAACTTTCACACATGGCTTTAAGCAAAACCAGAGAGCAGCCAACCCCCTACAACAGAAATTCCAAAAATAAGTGACTTAACCACTTACACTAGAGAAACCGCAGCAGAAACTGAAATTCTAGAAATGGCACTATAAAATTACAACAAAGCATAAGGAAACAAGAAAAATCTAATATTTGCTGCATTTTCTTTTATAGATATCAATAACAGTATCTTGTTTAATATTTGCTGTCTTTTCTCTTCTATATAGCCCAACAAACAAACATTTGTTGCAGTACCATAGTCTCCTCTGCATGACTACACCGCACTATAAGCAATTAAATAGCACAACATCAGTTGGGTTCAAGTACTAACAGAGAAAATATTAATGCAGGGAAACACGAACGACAAAAACAAACCATTTCATACACCTGCAACGAAGAACACATATTAATATACTTCTATTGTTGTTCCCGCCACTACATCTCGTGGCTGTACTACTTCTGCTGTTGCCGCTCGCCCATCCCAAGATGCAAGCAATAGGCTAAAATGCAGGGTAACCACATTCAGATGGAGCACTATAACTCTTACATGCATTTGCCAACGTCAAGCCACTGAATTTGCGTTCTCCTGTGTTCAGAAAGAAGTTATAATAGAGCTTAAAGTCAAATAACAACTTAGTTCAACTAAAAGTTCACTCAACACATAAAATTTCCCTCTAACCTTTTTCTTTATTGACAATGTACTCCTGAATCTATACCTCATTAAATTAGTTCATAAACTTTCCCTCAACCTTTTCCTTTTTCATATCCCTCTTCCTTGTCATGTTCTTCAAACGGCTTGTTCAATATGGTTGTTGCTGAGCTGACAACAAGTTTGGCCTTAAAGAGAACTGAGAATTGAGTAAACTAGGACATCAGTTTTGATGGAGAATCAAAGTCCCTAGAATCCAATAGTGAAAATCAGATTGAGAGTAAAACCCACAGCTTTGATGGAAAGATGAAGTGTAACAGTAAAAAATTCCCACGTCCCCCTGATACAGAATTCAAACACATAATCCTATATAACAACTCTTAAGGTCAAACACAAGCCACGTTAACACAAACCAAACACCAATCCATTAGCTCAAAATAGCAACTCTTCTGTTTTATACCTTGCAGGAGTCAGATGAGAACACTAAAATGCATTTGCCAACATGAAGCTACTAACTTTGAAATTTCTTAAATTTAAAAAGAAATTATAACAGAGTTTAAAGAGAATAATACCTCCAAAAGTGTTTGTATGAGGGAAAGATCAAGCTTCAGTACCATTGGCATGCAAAACTGCACACCGCAAATGGAAATAATAGCCAACACATTCAGTTTCCTTCATCTCAGAAGCACTAAACTCCAACTAATCTAACCTTTAACCACTAGAGTCTAAGATGGAAGTGTCATTTAAGCTACATCATTGAAATGGCAAACCAAATTCGGCAAAACCCAAAAGGAAGAACTATTTAGAAGCACTCACCTGCTATTTTCGTTTGAATTGAGCTCATTACCATATTTATACACTCTAGCTAAACTAATCTAACCCTTGAACACAATTTTCACTAAATTGCAGCAGATTTTTTTAGTTTTCTAGCTATTTTAGAATAGAGTTGAAAAGAGGATGGATACCAATGGAGGAATGCATTAGCATGGAGAGGATCACCCAATACTAAATGAGCATCATACCATAATTGAACTAAGTTCCACGATCATGATTCCAATGAATCCTTTCACAATGGGAGAGAAAGCAAAACTCCCGCTTCCTTGCATCTTTTACTTGTGTACAGAACAAAGATAAAGAGTTATCTACAAGAGAAAGGAAAGGTGAATACTAATGTTGTTAGTCAAATCTTGTTACCCCCAAGCCCATTTTAGGCTGAGTCCAATGCAGCCTGCATTTATGGGGTTGTCGGCATTAATGGCGATTGGGGAGTTCCAACGCAGAGAAATAAATGCCGAAAATCGGCAATTATGGAGGCGATCGGCAATTGGATCGCTATATATGGGGGAGGGTTTGCCGATTTCGGCATTTATGGAGGCCGAGCTATCTGCTGGGCGGCACAGCCGCCGGGGCTGGGCGGTGGGCCGCACGCGCAAGGGAGAGACTCTCTCCCTTGCGCGTGCGGCCCACCGCCCAGCCCCGGCGGCTGTGCCGCCCAGCACGTTTTTTTTTTTTTTTTTTTAATTGTTGACGTTGTAATTAGGAGTTGTAATTAAGGCCATTAGGAGTTGTAATTAATTAGGGAATCTGATTTAGGGAATTGTAATTAATTAATGCCGAGTTAATTAGAGGAATTATTAAAGGAGTTGTAATTAATTAGGGGAAGGGGAAGGGGAATTAAATTGAATTAATTAGGGGAAGGGGAATTAAATTTATGTTTGTATTTAGACTTTTTAGATTGTATTTAATTTGTGTTTAATATTTTTGTATTTAGGCTTTTTTTCTAAGATGACTTAAATTGAATTCATTTTATTTAAAATTTATGTTTATCATCTTTAAGTTGTGTGTAAACAAAAATTAGATCGAACTAAAAATGGAAATTATATTATGGAAATGAAAATGTGTTTGTAAATTACAAAATAAATTGTCACCAACTACAACTTTAATTGAATTACAAAGCATCACAGCATCGATACCAAGCAACAACAATGCCTAATTATTTCCATGCAAGTTCCAAATATGTTCGACCAAGTCCCGACGAAGCCCATGATGTGTTGGTGCAGCACGAAGCCTATTATTCCTAGCTAAGTACTCAGTTAGGGTTGGAATATCTCTATCGACATTAGTTGGTTGTTGGTCGTGGACCTCATAATCAAGATTATCTTCCATCTCATCGTCAGAATCAACCTGCTCATCCTCGATTATCATGTTGTGCAATATAATGCATGTCAACATTATATCATTAATTGTTGCAACATCCCAAGATCTTGCAGGGCCACGAACGATTGCCCATCTAGCTTGAAGAATTCCAAAGGCCCGCTCTACGTCTTTTCGATGTGCTTCTTGACATCGAGCAAACAAGGCTTCTTTGTTTGAGCTTGGATTGCTGAATGTTTTCACTAAAGTTGACCACGAAGGATAACATTGATCATAGGTATGACCGTTTACCTCAAATCGTACTCGTGGGGTGGATCCGTTGAGGACACCGTCAAACACTGGAGACATCCCCAGAACATTGATGTCGTTATTCGACCCAGGAGGGCCGAAGAAAGCATGCCATATCCAGGTGTTGTACGAAGCCACTGCCTCGAGAATGATTGTTGGTTTACGGTTGTGCCCCAGGTACTGCCCAGTCCAAGAAGTAGGACAGTTCCTCTATATATTCGAACGGTCATAACCTAACGGTCATAAATTCTCTATATATTCAGACATCCTCCCCTCTCTCTAACATTCATTCTTATTGAAATTTTCTGTTAGTCCCCTCATTCTTTCTATCATCTTTGTCTCTCTAAAAACCAAACAATGACAAGCAAGAGAAAAGGGAATTGGACAGCGGAGGAAGATAAGAACTTGTGCAGTTCTTGGGTGATGATATCGGAAGATGGAGCTGTGGGTGTCAATCAAAGGGATACAAGGTTCTGGGATAGAGTGGCGGCGCAATTTCGATCGAACGATCGAAACACATCTCGTACTATCAAAAGCATGACTAATCGAATGGGCACAATCACCAAATACTGCAAGTGTTGGAATTCAGCTATCCAAAGGGCAGAGAGGAATCAACCAAGTGGCACGAATCAAATGGATGTGGTATGAATTCTCCGTCACCATCATTGTTATTTTTTACCTTGTTCATTAGTACGTGTGTTCTATTTTCTAACTCCTTTTCCATCTCATTCATTTATATGTATAGGAGCATATGGCAGAACAACTCTATTTAAGCGAGACCGGAGAAAAGGGGTGGACTTTTGGTCATTGTTGGTGGATCTTGAAAAGATGCCAAAAATTTCATACCGTGATACTAATGCCATCTTCAAATCAAAGCCGCATGAGTCAAGGTTCTGATGGTTCTCCCATGGGTCTTGGTTATCAATCAACACCACAGACAGACCTCAATAACACAGAAGGAGACGAAGAAACTCCACCATTCGTCGGAGAAACTCCACCGTTCGTTGAAGAAACTCCACCATTCGTCATATCTCGCCCTGCTGGACGCGACAAACAGAAGGCAGCTAAGAAGAAAGGAAAGGGGGTTGTCGAGTCATCAGAGAGCTACACTGCTCAATTGCTTGAGTATGGAAGTGAGTTGAAGGAGAGGCATGCTTTGAGGACTGAGTATGAGCGAAGAAGGATGGAATTCCAAGAACAAAAATCAAAGCGTGACCAAGAAAAGTGGGAAGTTGAGAAAAAAGAGAGGGAGGCAGCACTATTTCGGAACAATCTTGATCTTATTGAAAAGGACTTGTCGAAGTTGACACCAAGAAAGCGGAAGTTTTACAAAAATCATCAAAACATGCTCCTAGGGTATGATCAAGATGATCCCAACTCTGTTCCCGACTATTCATCCAACGCAAGTCAAACTGGAGGTCGAGATGGAAATGGAGGAGATGAAGGTGGAGGAGGAGATGAAGGTGGAGGAGATTACGGGAATTACTATTCCCTTCTGGGTGATTATTGACATGTTATGTGTTTCTTTTTTTATCATTTCAAGTGTTGTGTGTTATTTTTAAACTTTATCATTTTCAAGTGTTGTGTGTAATATTTAAGCTTTATGATTAGCAAGTGTTGTGTGTAAACCCAAATTAGGTCCATAATTTTTTGCTAAAAAAAATTCGGTCTCGAAATTTAACAAAATTCTATCGAAAAATTTCTATTTAAAAATGATGACGAACTATACAAAAATTAACATGAACAAATTATGTTAAAGTTTCGATAAGTACATTTTTCAATAAATGAAAAAACTGGAAATATTAAGAACCCCAAATATGGAGTTTGTTGCATTGGAGCAAAAGAAGGGAAAATGGGGTCCAATCCCCAAATTTGGAGTTCAAGGCCCCTATATTTGGGGTTTTGCATTGGACTTGACCTTAGCTGTTGTTTGTTGGCTCGTACGTAAGTAGCAATTAGCCCGTTCAGTAAAGAAGGAATCTGAAAACCATATAAGCAAAGAAAGAGTATGAGCATTATCAGGCTTCCATCCACCACTGCCAAACTCCCTCTCTGTAAGACCCTGGCAAAGCATGAATAAGAAATGGACCTTCTTTTAATTTCCAAACAACAATAATAGTGTACTAAGGAGACATGAATAGAATAAAACCCAGAAACCAAAAATGAAAGGAATCGAGAGACGCAATGTCTTCATCTAGTCTCGTTTCTACTGTGGTTTTACAAATGTTCTAAAACTAAACAGAATCAGGAAACCGGTAATAAACCGAAGATTATATATAAATTAAGCCACATTCAAGTCTCTTTTCCTTTACCACCCAACCATCTGTTATATAAAGCCTAAAGGCAGAGCCATCCAAAATGTGGCAGAACTCTCACAAAGTCTAGCTCCTAGTTATTCATCAAAGGAAAAGTGAAATAGAATTTGTAGTTCAATTTACCAATCTCTTCTCCTTTAGCTTCAGCAAGCTTCTATTTCTATAATCAGTTCCAACCAACCACCCCATCATTACTTCTGATTCAACAAACACGAAATCCCCAAATTTAGTTTAAGAACCCTAACTTTCAAAATCTAAAATTAGCAAGAAAGATAAGAAAGCATGGATTACAAAAACCAAGCATTGTGTATGCCTTAAACCATCTCAAACCTCGTAGTCCGCCATCTTCTCTCCCCTTTTACTTTTCTTTTTTGTCCGCTTTCCCCTTTCATTTTTGAAGCAACAACTGTAGCTACCGGTTGTTGGTCGGCGGCGCAAGACTTGGGAAACGGAAGGACACCGCAGGGCGACAAAAGCAGCATTTGTAGGTCGTAGGAACTCCTACCCCTTCATCTTAACTGAACCTTACTAGTAAGAATAGAGAAACTACATGCAAGATAATAAATTGGTTAGAATCAATCAAACATCGAACTTGTTTTAAAATGATGTTCGTAATCGCTGTCAGTTCTTTCAGAAGGAATGGATTGTAACTTTTCTTCCATTTTTCGCTTGTTTCCATGAAAGGATAGATGGGGAAGGAAGATTGAGAGAGGCGAGAGGGAGATGGAGCGCGGAGTTGGTTTGGATCGCTTTCCAGAAGAGAGGAGAGAGAGAGACATAGTGGAATGAGAAAGAAGTGGGGGATCTGGATCTAGATTCTTCTTTCTCTCTGTTAAGGAGTCCAAAAAATTGACCCCCCAAAACCAAAAAAAGAGCGGCCAAAAACTGCCATATCCCGCCCAATTCCTTTTCTTGTTTTAGTCTTCGTTGTAAAACAGGCGGGGAAGGCAAAATTTTTATAAAAAATCAGCGGGAAATAATAGGGTGAATGCAAAATTTTTGTGAATGAAGGCGGGGGAAGTTTTATTACATTTGTCAATTTTTAGAGCCAAAGTGAAAGGGGTGGACTTCCCTCCAAATATTTAGACGTGAATTAACCGTGACTAACAATTAGTCACGGGAAATGAAGATTAAAAAAAGGTAAATTGATTCCCGTGTTTAGAACTATACAATCAAATACGGTAACTTTTACCGTGATTATAAGCATACTTCTTAATACGAGAAAACATCCCGTGAATAAGATACCGTGTTTAAAAACCAGTTTTCCTGTAGTGTTGGTGTTTACCTCAGTTCTGTAAATTCCATTCGAAGGCAACAGCTTGGGCAATTGATGGAATTGGTGAATACATTGACTGTTCCATTTACTCTTATTGGGGATTTTAATTGCATATTGAGCTCCTCTGAGAAGAATGGAAACCGTGTTTGGACTCCTGCCCAATCAATGGAATTCAGAACGTTCATTGATGATTTGGGTCTGTTTGATATTGGTTTTGCAGGGGCTCCATTCACATGGACAAACAGAAGGAATGTTCCAGATCTTGTGGAGGAGAGATTAGATAGGGCACTGGTATCCCAGACCTGGAATGGGAGCTTCCCGGACACTAATTTGAAGCATCTTACAGATGAAGGATCGGATCATAGAGCGTTATTATTCTCTACGGATAAATTGTCCACGAGAACTAGAGCTCTATTCCGATTTGATGCAAGGTGGGCAAAAAACCGTGAAGTTAAAGCTATAGTGCAGGAAGTGTGGCTACAGGAGGTTCGTGGATCGTTGATGTTCCAGATTTGGGAGAAGTTGAAGAAGATCAGGCATCGCTTGTTTGAGTGGAGTCGAATGGGAACCACTAATTCTCCTCGAGCAGTAAGAGAGCTGCGATCGAAGCTACAGGAAGTAAGGTGACACGCTAAAACACAACACCTAAAAATGGCCAATTGTAACCAATGAAAGGGACTGCAGTAACAGGCAAGTTTAATTATCAACCCGGGGTCTAGATCTACTGCTTACTCCGTGATTCTCTATTATCTAGCAAACTAGTTCGAATGATTGTTGTGAAAGGTAAAAGCAACAAGAAAGCAGTAAATTGTTCGGGTTTCTAAAGCAGGCAAGAGTCACTCGGGATTGAGTCCCCCTAGCCCCTTAGTTAGGTTCAATTGCAATTCCCTGGGTTGATTTACTGTTGATTAGACTGCGGAAGATCCGACAGTAGCTTGGAATCTCTTAAGCTGACCAAGCCCTCTCAGTCTAACTACCCGGCAGACGACTAGTCTTCACCGGGATAGAAAGCTGAGGCTATGAACACAGAACTCCACTACTGGCGCCAAGAACACCAGTACAAAGCAGTAAACTGGCTAACTCTCGTATAGCCAATCTCCTACTATCGAATGAAGAGGCTCTAACAACCTAATCAGATTCTATCTATCTCAGGTTGCAGCAGAAATTGAGAAAAGCTGATCAGACTCAAATCAATTCATTAAACATGCGTCATTCGATTAAAATCAAATAGTAATATCATCCCAAGTCATTACAATCAAATCCCTAACACAAGGAACTAGGGTTCTTCATACCCAAGTGAGAGAAGGGTTCTACTCCATAGAGAGAGAAGAGAAAACAAGAATCGGATTAGTCATACTCATAACGATGAGGATAATCTGCTCCGGGACGATGATTTCCACTCCTATGACGATCTCCAAGCTCGATTCGATGAAATCCAGCTCTAAGACAGCTTCTAGGGTGTGTTCTTCGCACTTTCTCTCTCTAGGGCTCTGTTTTTGCTCTCAAAACACAATTCTCCCACTTCTGGCTCGGAATAGGCTCTAAAACAGGGTTTCCCGACTTGCACGGCCATGCACATCACCATTCTGGCCGTGCAACTCAAAACGCGCCGTATCATTAAGTCGAACCTCAGCCAACTCGCACGGCCAGGATTGCACCTTGCACGGCCGTGCGGATTTCACTTGTGCCCGTGCGTGCCCACGCACAATCCCGCACGGCCAAACTGGTCACTTGCACGGCCGTGCGGGTTGTGGATGTGCCCGTGCGACTTCCTCAGAACCTCGCCATGCGTCCGATCCTTGTCCAATCGACCTCAAACTCGCTCCCAAGCCTCCATTCACGTACTAGGACCTGAAATATCATAAACAAGCACAACCTAGCGTGAAATCGGCCTAAAACACGAGAATCAATACCTCAAACGGAGTAAGAGCAGGGGTAAAAACATGTGTAAATAACGGTCTATCAAACTCCCCCACACTTAATCGTTTGCTTGTCCCCAAGCAAACCAAGTCAGACACCAGGTAAGCTTACATATTTCAATCAACCAACATTGGGGACAAGTCATAAAGGCACAGAACACGTGAATCGCACTGGTTTTCAAACATCAATACATGCGCAACCTCAATAACAACCTGGACAACCACCACAAAGGACATTCGAGTGCAGCAAATCGAGTAAAGGAAGAGTCTCCCTTCTGTTCACTAGCCAACCTAGACTTGATTCAACCACTTACTCAAAACAGTCAACTCATGCATCCAACTCAAGACATCAGAATAGAGACCGAGCAATCTAGGTCCTCACCGG